ACTGAAGTGTACTGTCTAAAAACCGGCAATGACGTAAGTGCAAACGATTTTGCACTTCGCCCGTCTGTAAACATTGCTATAAACACACAAACCTCGTAATTGCGTACTAATTTATTAAATTCCTACGCTAATTTTTACGGACGGGCAATTGAACTCGTCAACGGTACAACTCTCGTATCTCGTAAGTCTGTTTCATCAAGCAGTAAACATAAAAATGAACGGTATGAAAATACTTTTCAATATACCTTAAGAATTGCCTAAGTTGTTTAGGACAAATGTTTCGCATTTAATAACTTGCTTGGGCGGGGAGTTTTTGGGGGGGAGAAAATTATTTTTCGGGATAAAAAAATTAAAAAAAAGCACTCCAACGGTTAAAAACGCGATATATTAGTTAAACTTATTTGAAAATGATTTTTAACTTCGGCCCGACGTTTCGGATGTTTGCACCGTTCACGGGAAGATAAGTTTCCGAACCTCGGGCCGATATATCGTCAATAAGTTTCTTAAACCGTTAAACTTTAAGTGTTTTATTTAAATGTGTACTAATTGCGTAAACTATAGACAGTATTGTTATTTTTTATATTGAACGAGTTGAAATACGCTAGCAAAAAAACCCGGTTTTAAATAGTGTCCTTTTTTGTCTCTGGATATGATACCCTAAAAACACATATAAAATGTTTTGGAGTCCTACAAAGAATATCCATGGTCTAAACATTGAATCGTTAGTACATTTTTCCTCGTAGTGTGTAAGTACACTTGACATTGTCTATACCTTGTACACGGTGTCGTAAGGAAGCACCCACAGAATAGACAATAGAGCAATTGGACTGGACAGCTTGTTAACGCAACTTTAGCAAGGACAAGATTCGAATCCTGATAAACACTGGTGCATTATTAAACTACTTCAAAATAATATATTACATTTGGTTGAGCGACTTCGCTGTTACCCGCGTAGGATAGTTATTTTGGCTTTACAAATATAGCTGTTACCCGCGGCGTCGGCCGCGCCCCGTCGTTCTTGCAAGTTAGTCTTAAAAGATAGACATTTACTGTCGCGGAAGTTTTTTAGATCAAGTAAAAAGGAATCAATCATTCTTTGATACTATTGAAGCACGTTCAAACAAACAAACTCTTCAGCTCTTCAGCTACTAATATAAACTAAACGTGTTGTCTAGCGCTGCTTTAAGAGCGACAGGTCCTGAGTTCGAATACCGGGGATTAAATAATAATAAAATTAGTGAAATTGACACAGAAATGTGTTCGCCCCATACGCCGTGGTGGGAAACGGTCATTCAATATAGCATGCTCAATATTAGTTGATTAACGTCAATAAAAGCTTATCCTTTCCAAACGTCAATGAAGAAGCCGTGACGTAAGTCTTGAAAAACATTTTGAAAATACTACACAAACACGAATGTTCCTTCCTTAATGTAAAGTTACTGTTTGTATTCTATATTGACGTAAACTATGATTTTCTCGTGAGTTTGTCATCCAATTGACCACAAGTGACTTCATTGAAAAGTCAACAGTTAACAAGTGTTGAACAAACTTCTGATGAGTTGAGTTTTTTCGACAAACAATTGTTACAATGTCAACTTAGGTGAATTGTTATAAGTATTTCTTTTCACATAAGGCTAAAACTTCGACGGTAGACACGGTAGCTCAATCGTTTAGAGCAGCACGTGACGCTGTGGATGCCCGTTCACGTCCCGCGACTGTCATAAAATTGGACATATCTAAAATATCATAGTTTTCAAACAAGTAACTATAATAATAATTTTGAAAGGATATCGTTCTTACAACACACATATACATTGATTACATTACTTAAGATTTAGGTACAATGCAGACATATTTCTGTATCCTTTTTATCGATTGATCATAATTAACTAGTCGTTTCGAGCACTGTATCATCCGGCAGACGCATTTGAATTAAACACTTTAAACGGTAGGAAATGCGAAATGTATTGATTATTTGACATTTATTTTAACTAAGATACGATGTCCATAACCAAGGCCGCTACAAAGCACCCAAAACGTCGGGCCGTAGTTAAAATGTAAGTTACGTATTTTAATTCGCGTTTTAAATCATTCAATTTGTTTTATTGGAATACTGTATCGTCCTCCTCAGACCTTTGGACTTAACGCATGAAAAAGCGATAGGTTGTCGAATATGTTAATAAATAACTTAATTTTTATATTATCTTAAATTAATGATGGAATCGATTATTTAATTGAATATTAATTAATATAAATACGATCAGTTGCATCATTATTGTTATCAGTTGGATGCCAATAAACGGAAAATACTATTACGCCTCTTACTGAGTTTGTAACTAGGGTAAATATTATTATTTATTATGAAAATGATTTGATGCAATCGATAATAACTATTTAATAGTGCTTATGACGTGTAGTTACGTCGGGAGAGTGGGAATGGCATTATTATTGTTTTTAAGAACATAATTAATGATAAAGAAACAAGTTGACTATTTGGTTCAGTGAAAGCGATGTGTCAAAATTACATGTGTTAACGAGCGTGTTGATTACAGTCTATAGATTCTAAGATACAAACATAGGTGGATAGCACATCTTCAATAATGTATAAGGCAGGTGCACTATTCCGTCTATCAATATTTGTCTCTATCGTAAAAATACTAATAGGTGTCAGTGATCGAAACCGTAGAAAATTGTTTTTCTTGGTATTTTTATAAATAAAACACTTTTAACTGTTTAAAATGTGAAATTTGATACCCCAGCCAGATATAACAACTTGACATCTTATCTGGATATTCGGTAGGTATAATAGTTGTAACTTATTTTTTTTAACTACGAACCGACATTTAGGATGCTTTACAGCAGCCATTTTGTGTAAAATACAGACTATATTACTTATCCAATATTTTTAAAGTAACAAATTATGACACACAAAGACTTAATTGGACATTGTATCTTCAGAGTGAAAGTCTTTAAGAAACGTTTAATTTAGAATTGCGATGTAGGTAAAATAAACGAATGAATAATATAACATCATCATCAATCACTCAGGTTTTATATAATATTATGTATCTTGCTAAAACTGTCTATGCTATTTTTGATATAAAGCATTCGGTTGTAATTGACATAGTCCTTGGTTTCGAATCCGCCGGAAACATTCACAATAAAATAGAGTTATTCATAATTCCTAGTCATCCAATTTGCACAGTATGTTGAAGTAAAGGGTTTGGAATTTTAGCTTCTGTCTGCCTCACAGACTATGGATTTCGTAGTATAAAAATAGATCGACAACTTGCTCTAGTAACTCTGCTTACTTTTATTTCTATAGACATACATCTTGACTATAGCGATATGCTTTATAGATATATGTGACCATAAAATTCCAGCAAATTTACTTTCATTTTTTTTACAACATAGTATATTACAGATCAGCGTGGAATTCACTTGATGTAATACTATTTAAGATTCACAAAACCCAATTGTGGATTTATCCCATACGACGAAGGGCAATTGGGCCTCCAAAAAAAGAGAAATAAAGATTTTAGATCATTTTAAAATCGAAAATAAATTGAAAAAAATTTTGATACGGGCAGGACTTGAACCGGTATGGTCAGCGTACCGTGCTGTTGCTCTACCAATTGTGCTGCCGAGTCAACTGGGAATTTTTAAATTATACATATAGTGCCTTCACGTGCAATAACATGTGAAAAAAAATTAAAGATTTTCAGATCATTTTACACTTTGAAAGAAATAACTCGAAAGTTAAATTTCAGTTTTCTTGTTTTAGATAATATTTAAGTATGTATATGTTTAATAAATACTTAAAGAGATTTCGGATTTTTTTGTTTGTTCCCAAAGAAAATATAATATTATAAAATTTTCTATTTGAGATTACATCTATTAAATACTAAATAATATATTTAGTTTCACAATAAATTAATGAAGAATTTTTAATTGGAAAATCTTTTGGAACCTCCACATCTTTTCGTCCGAACCTTAAATTTAGCCCACGAATTTCGATATTCCCTTATCACGAGTCTAAATTGTTTTAGAAAAATTAGCCATTCACTAACTCAACTAGCATCCCAGGTATTCATCAGGGCTTCAAAAGTAAAGCAAGGTTATATCAATACACAAGAACCAATTCAGTCAATTATGTAACGTCTGCCTAAAGAATGTGGCGCAGTGGTGATCGATCCCACAGCTGTATTCAGTTCAAGGTAGCCGTGCCTATCTTTCTTCGCTCGGTTCTTTCTAGAAGAGGTTGCATTTTTCTAACGCTTGCTCATCGTGTTATTCATACTTAGATTATGAATGCAAGTGTGGTTGTTAGTTCTTCCTATTGAAAATCAATTTCCATTCAGTATAATTTCCCATTATTCATAGAATCAAACCGGTATATACCCTATACATTATTGTTGTTTAACACTTCAAGTAACAATTTCTCTATTAAGTTTTAACAATTTCTCTATTAATTTTAACAAAATATTAAATTATACCATCCTATAAGACTAGTTTAAAATATTCTGTGCAACTGTAATAATGGTGATTAAGTAAGAGATCTTACAACATTACTGTCATCATTTATGTAACTGAATATGTAGTTCAGATAACTGAGTGGAGAGGTTTATCTTTGCATCGATAAGGTTTCTAGATAAACCTAACAAGTTGAAAGCACTAATAATCAGAAATTAAGAATTGTAAATTATCCATACAAGGAAAATAATAGGTTTGACAATGAACAAATTTAACATGTCCAAAATTTAATTTAATGTACTTTTAATCATTGTAAACTGTACTTTGCAATTCATCCGAGAAGGTTAAACATTAAAAGAACCAAATGCTTCACAATAAATTTATTAAATAATAACCACATAACTTACTGAGATTCCACACACGCTCAGCCCTATAAAACTATATATACAAGTCGGGCTGCTTAGTCTATATGTACATCATGTGCGGGAGTTTACATCACAGGTATTATAAGTTTAAACTTGCATAGTTTAGACGGGGGCTCCGACCTCTTCTTGATAGGATCTTGTGAGGTGAGCAGCTGTTGCGGTAAGATGGCGGAGACACCGGCGCAGACCTCTAAGATGACGCCTGCAGTCTTCAGCGGCCCTTGCAGCGGAATCCCTCTCATCCTCGCCTTCAATACCCGAATCGCCGGCTGCGCTGGACGCGTCACTCTCGGTGTCGCTCATATCGGAGACCCTAGGCCTGGCCCGGTCCTCCTCGGGTTCAGCTCCCGCCCATAAAAGCTCAGTCTTCAAATCGTTTAGCATAGCAAATAGGCTGAACGGGTCATCGTCTCCCTCTTGCGGCAGGTTCATAAGCCGGCTGGGGACGAGCACAGTGTCGTCCATGGTATTTACCATTTTGACGAACTTCTCCATGTCGTGGAGAACGCTCTCCTTGGAGAACTCAGTGTTATCATTTCTGGCGATTTTTCGCAAGCTGTTCCTGTAACAATAGAAAAACATATTAGAAATCTCAATAGATTTACATAAAAAAATGATTACCATAAATACCTAAAAATCTACTTCTCATCTCATGTGTCATTACAATTCCACTATTTGATGACATAACATACTTATATTCTCTGGTTATGGCTTGTGCAACATAATATATGCCTTAAGTTGGTAAATATAACATTGCTAGAGTTACATAACAACTAAAGTATTTTATAATTAGGTTACATTTTAATAATCAAAGGCACTTCTTTTGAAAACAAATCTTGTGTTTAAGAGTTAAAACTTATGTGTAAAAAAATTTAAATGTGTGGACATTCCTACATTGATAAAAATATTAAATTCATAACACCAAGGTCGGTCTAATATTATGTGTAACTTTGATATTTGACTTAATCAATCACAAAGCACATGGCTTAAATGACATTATAATATACTAATCATACATTTATTGGCCATCACCAGTTAAATATTATATACATATAGAAGTTACTAACTTAAGGTAGCTATACTTCTTCCATTGCGACTGATCTAAATAAAAGTGATCAGTATGCCTATCTCACTCCCCGCATAGCAACAACAGGATTTAACAATATATACTTACATTTAGTAGGGAAATTTTTAAAATTAATATTTGGTGAATAAAAGAGTTGTTCAACATATTACACATGACTTTTATTGAATAATTAACTATTAATAGTTTTCTTTACAAATACACTCGTAAAAAGTGAAACATTATGTATTGTTTCATACACAAAGTATGATATAAAAGATTTGTATGTATGAAATTAGTTCCTTCATTCATAGTGATGGGATTTGCAAAATAATAGTTCGCCACAGATGATATATGTGTTAGCACTGTTAAATTGCTTAATGATTATCTCATTCATCAATTTAACAGCAAGGTGGTCAAGTTATTTTAAGTAAATTCGTGTTTTTATTATGTCAATGCTCAAATTGTATCAAGGCGAACCACGTCGACAAGGGCTCTCGGTTATGAGTCAAAACTTATCCATTTCGTGTTATATAATGTAAGGATGCAAACTATTCAATGAAAGCCTATGTGCTTCACTGTATCATCGCTTCTGCGCAAGTCTAGAACATTCTTAAACTAACCTAAATAGAAAAATTACGTTGAGATTTGATGCATCCAACGATGCGAATTGTGACACCAATCGGTTGTTAGCATTGCGTCAGTTACTGAAAAGATGCTGTTATGTCAACGTGAAAGGAAAGAGTTTCGACAGATTAATCTCTTTTTATCATCATTAATGATGTAAAAAGTAAGAGCTATGCTATAACACTTAGTATGCACAATTCACAATCATAAGATGCAGGGCTCGCCCAAATTGGACGTGGTCGATGAATGCATCCGTACCTGCTGTTTTCCAATTTGGTCGAAATATCGGTGTTGAAAGACATCTTGTGTTATTTAACTTTTTAAATATCACTGAACACACACGGCCCAATTTTTTATTCACTGAATACGACGCTAGTGGTTCCAGCTTACGAAATGTCGCTGAGAGGTTGATTTCACCGGACACAAACGACCGCACACCCGCGTATGTTCTGACGTTTGGCTAAAAGTGGGGAGCGGTCTCGCCCTTTTATATGACGCCACGATCATACGATGCTAGAGCGGTGCGAACGACGCTTTTATCTCGCTATGTTGTAGCATCACGCTTATCCGTCTTTCATTGATAAAAATAAAAACATATTTTGTTTTATTATTATAATCTTTACTAGCTAAAATTGCAAAGATCGTAGTACTTTACGTAAATTGTAGGCAATTTTACGTTTTGACGCTGGGAGCATCAATAACTTACTCTAAACTATCTTCTTTAACATCATTCTTGTTCTTAATCCTTCTTTTCTCAGTGGTTTTTTTCCTCCTTATCATCTCCCTTTATTCTAGGAATCTTCAGTATCCTTATTTCTGTTAAAATTAAAAATATGCAACTCTTAATGTTTTTAAATTGTTTAAAAGAGTTTTAAAATTATTCATTTTAAACGATACAAATATTTGAACTTTGAATCTATTGACAACAGTTATCTTTAATCACTTGTTAATAAATGTCGCATTACCTTATATCCCACTCACCCATCATAATCTTCATGCATGGAGAGGTCATCAAAATTTGATGGATCTTCATTTTTGACATCCAAGCCCCAATCATCATCATTGTTTTGACTCAATTCCAGTTGTACATTGTCCAAGAGGGATTTTTTAATTTGTTTTTCATGCTGGGAATATAAGTGGAAGTCTATTACAGAAATGTCTCTTGTTACTCTAAGGCATGGAAAATTACAGGGACAAGGCTTCCGCTATTATCTACATATGTGTGTATCTACGTATGATAAGTTTAATAATAACAATCTTCTATTTACAGGAATTCAAAACAAATATTTGCGTTTTCCAAAATTTTAATCTATGTTTTACTTTGGGCAACTTCAAACTACCAAAGACCATAGCTAGAACATTTGAAGTCCTCAAGTTGTGATGGTGGCATCCTAAGAATATTAATGTTGTTGTCCGTTGCCCCATATTGGGAATGTGGGACACTCTCTCGCTCATATTATATGTACTTCGTACATGAATGATCTTACCTTTAGTACTGTATGAAATCCTAGTTTGTTCTTAGCACTAGATGTGTTTATTATAAGTGTTTTGGTTTCCGTTAAATTGCTCTTTGAATATTTCAATAGCTCTGGGTCTTTACCATCAATGGCAAACTGAAAGAAGACATGATTTTTTACTAGTATGTATTTCAAGTTAGTTGTCTGTCGTGATTGGATATGGTTCCTAGTGTAAACAGTGCAGATTCAGATTCTGAGCTTTCAATCATTTCTCAACCTCAATAGCCAAACCCTAATAGCATTGTAAAATGTCTACAAAAACCTTAAACATTTAAATAAAACACTTTATATGCAATATATTGGTTAATATATTAGATGCTTTGCAGAAACCATGGTTAGGGGGACTCTTCACAACACTGTTCCCCGCCTGGACAGGTCATATAGAAACAAGAAATTAACTAATACATTTCATACATTTTATACTGTTAAGTATTTAATGTAAATGTGCATTATTTATGAAGTACAGACAATAATTAAGTCTTTAACAATTAATATTACTAACTCATTAAAAAAAATATTATTAATTTACACTAGCCTTTTGTAGCTCAGTATTTTTTTGTTTCTTCATATCTGTTTCACTAGTTGATAATGATTTAATTAAGCTATTATGTCAGTTGAATAATTACTTACTGGTGCACATCTATTATGGTAGTCGTAGAGAATGGCTTGTGCTTTTAAGACTTGCTTTTTGAAGCGAACTGACTTCCTTAGCAATGCAGTACATTCACAGCATAGGTCTTGAGGTAGACCATCCATCTCAGTAATCTGAAATGGCTAACTACTGATTAAACACAGTTTTATTAAAGCCCCCCCAACAAAGCTTTTTCCCCCCTTGGGGGTTTGGGGAAAAAACCACCCGGGGGGGTTTTTGTTTTTTTTTTTTTTTTTTTTTTTTTTTTTGTTTTTTTTTTCTTGGGGGGTTTTTTTTGGAACCAGACAACCAAAAACAACAGCGACGCGCGACCTTTTTTTGGGGGGGGGTTTTTTTTTGGGGGGGGGTTTTTTTTGGGGGGGTTTTTTTTTTTTTTTTTTTTGTTTTTTTTGTTGGTTTTTTTTTTTTTGGCTTTTTGGGCCTTGGGGAATTTGCCGGTTTTTGGTTTTGGAAATTGCCTGGGTTTGGTATTTTTTAGGGTTTTGGCCCTGGTAACTGACGCTATTTCTTGACAGTTAACATGTGTCACAATTGGATGATGACAATTGACAATAGGGACGATAGCTCATAATTGTGTGTGATTCTGTTTGAAAAATGAAAATATATTTATTCATTCTTACTACTATGAAAGTAGTTAAAATCGATTTTTTTAAATTTATTAATACGAAAAACATTATTTAATTATTTATACGTAAATACTTTTTAATGCACACATTTGTGTCACAATCTCATTATTTTAGCATCGTTGCTGTCGGAATTATAAGTATGTTTGAATGCTCCTGTAACTTAGTAAGACCTACTATGACATTTTGTTTGTTGCATAGGTTAATTAAAACACAGACATTTTGTACTCCAAAAAGGCCAATTGGATTTCTAACATTTAAATAAATATTAATTTGTAAATGAACGCCAATTCAAATACTAAAATTCGTGTCAATAAACCTTTAAATATTAAATTGATCAAAATTCATTGAACCATTTCGATTTTACATGGTTTTATGACAATATTAAAGTACTCTGTACATATTGTTTAGTGTTATGTTTTCTTTATAAGTTGTATATCTTAAAATGAGTGAAATATTAGCGTGTCGGATTTGTTTAGCGTCTGAAGATGTTAAACTTTCAACTTTAACTAAATATAAACTGGTGGAGGTGTATGAATTTATTACTGGGTCGCCTGTAAGTTTGTAATCTTGCCTGTGATTGTATTAATGTTCATAAGTTTATATAATTTTAATTAACTTATAACTTATTTGAATATAGCTCTTTACCGGTTTAAAACGCAATATATATTAGTTGAACTTATTTAGAAATTTGTTTAACAACGGCCCGACGCTTCGGATTGAGTTTAACTATTAAATATCGCGTTTTAAACCGTAAAAGTGTTTTATTTAAATTTTGTACTACTCGCGTAAACTACAGTCAGTATTTTTATTACTTATTTCTTAAATAGTTACAAGGCTTGTCTCTGTGCTCTCTTGAACAAATATATTTGAATTAAAATGGTAAACTAACATGACAAAAACTGGTAAATTTGTGAGTAGGGGCAAGACGAAATATGTTTGAAACACAGTATAATCTTAGATGTTATTTTTTAATTTTTTATATGCTTCACAGATAACTATGGACGGCCTTCCTACCTACATTTGTATGTACTGCACAGCCCAACTACGGAAATTTTCATTGTTTAAGGAACTGTGTACACAATCACAAGAGTTGCTTAAGTATTTTCATAATGATTTGAAAGATAACAAGGTAAATCAGTATTATTATAATATTCTGTCGTTATTAGTTAGTTTAATGGTAAATGCTTCTTTGGCTTGTGAGGTTGGAAATAAATAATTATTAACTTATAGCTCCTGTCTGATGAAAATTTAAACCTTGATATTCTTTTTTTTACAGCTGACTGTAACAGAGCTTCGCAACATATCTCCATGTAATAGTAATCAATTTTCAATACATACAAACACACAAACAGTAGACATAGAGTATGCAGAACCAGTAATAAAAGAGGAGATACAGGAGGTAAAAGTGGAGTATGAACCTAGGAAGAAGAGAAAGACAAAGGAAGTCTTCTTAAAGTTGGATGATGATTTCCATGATGATGCTGTGGAAATAGATGATAAAAAAGACTATGATGTAAGTCTCGTTGCAGAAGTGTCTTTTAAGGCAAAGTAATACACCTTGTTGAGTTTGTTTATAGTCTTGAATTATTCATTTAAGAATGTATTATTAATTAAAGGATTATGATGATCTAAATGTGGAAATGGTTGTGCTCAGCAAAGAGCAGCAGGTAGCAGAAATCGAAGCCAGGAAATTATCAGTGAACTATCTAAACTCACTGTACAAATGCGACAAGTGTTTTAAGGGATTCATTACTGAGTTAACTTTCAAGAACCACATGGTTAGACATGATACTGTGAGTATATTATTGTACTAGAATATATCTTATTGATAAGATTATTATTTAAATATAATTACTTTTAATTTTAATTGTAACAATAAGTTTTTCTTTATGTTATCTTCCGTTTGTCACACCCGTGCATTCCGTCATTATTACCGTAAGAAATTTTGTTAAGTATTGTTGAAGTGAGGAATCCCATTGTCTTATCTGTCTCGCCTGTTCCTCAGATGCTTACCATTCTCAATGTGCTCCTTGACAGCAACTCTAATATCAATTTATTTTTTGACAATCATGGAACTATCGTGTCCTAAAGATTTATATAGTTTCTTGTTTGTTTTGTTGGTGATTTTCTGTATATAATTGGATTAGGCTGTTCTAGTTGTAATAAATAAATTACTTCATTAAATTATTATTATATTAATCCACATTAAATTTCAGACTAGAGGCGAGCACATATGCGACGTGTGTTTATGCGTGTGCGCAGAGGCGAAGACGTTGCGCGGGCACATGATAACTGCGCACGAACGGAAGTACATATGCAAGCTGTGCAGTTATGTCTCGAGATCTTTGTAAGGATATCTACTATAATAACTTTTAAAGTGTGTTAGAATTCAATGTTTGCTGCGAAAAATATTCGGAAATGTGGAATAAACGGGGAAAAATATTCATTTTTGAGGTTTCCGTTATGTGCGCTGTGAGACCGGTTCAAGATACCCAAAAAATATATGTATGAAAGAATGATTCCTCTTGAAATTATTTAAAAAAAAATGTCGACACTATATGTGAAACTTGCAAGAACGAAGCGACGATTTAATTACATTATTTTTGTTATAGAAAATGTGTTTCTTTAAACTTTATTTTTTACAGAAATCGTGCGCGTGAGCATAGCCAATGGCACAAGGGAAGAACTTTTGACTGTAAGATTTGCGGGGCGTCATTTTCGTAAGTTTATCATTAGTCCTTGTATCCAATGTTATGGGGCATGGGGCTAAGAACTTTAGTTCTTTGAATAACGATAAAAACAACATCTTCGAGACTTTAGTAATACTTACGAAAATGGTAACAACAAATAACCCACGTTAATAATGGGCTATTTGACTAATTTAAAAATGTTTGTTATGTTATTTGGTAGATGTTAAGAAACCCCAGAGAAGTATTACGCCTAAACGCTTATTTTGTGAAATAACGCTGCAATACGGCAAGTGTCGTCACGACCTTATATTGGCCACTGCCGTATGTCCATCGTATGATCTACAATCTACATGCATTTGTACCAAATATTTACATTTTAACAGTGATCGAAGTAATAAAATTAGTTACCAATAATTATTAATTAATGCAATAGAACAGTTTTAACACTAGAAAGCACGGTGGTTAATAGCACTGTTTATAAGCAAGTGACATCATAACCGACCAAACAGGAGCGTTTCCTATCACGTGACAAATGTTTAAAAAAACATTTTTTTGTTTATTTTATAATCAATTATTATTTCTAACATATATGACTTGTTTGCTATTTCTAAACGTATACTTAACCCTGAAAACATTAATTGAAGTTATATAGTTCGCATTGTCTAATAGACTATTAAGAAATGGTTGGGAACAAGATAAGCGCTATTCAAAGTCAAAAATCATTTATTCACGTAGGCACACTTATGTATGTCACATCACTTAAAACTAAAGACTCTACATTTAGGCTTACTAATATTTTCATGAAGTATTGTGAGGTTAGTCCACGAACAATCGGGATCTTATCTTTTCAGTAAGTCAACTAGTTTCCTTACCCATACCCGACTGCAGCACCCCACGAACAACTCGTGTGACATCTGCGGCGAGTCTTTTCTAGGGGAACTGGGGCTGAACCTGCACAAGAGGAAGGCCCACGCTGATGTTGATGATGAGGTGAGACCAGGATCCCGATTACTTCATCACTTTCTGTCTTTGTCGCATTGGTATGAGAATGTTTAATTAATTAGTTAACTTACCGAGCCACCCCTGTGACCACGGCTGTTGCAAGACATCCGAAACGTGTTTTATTTATATGTACTATTCACATCAACTATAGACATTACTAAATTACTACTATTCAACGACGTATGGCCTGATGTTTTGCTCCGGGTCGTTTGTACACCAGCCAACTAATACATTTCGCGTTTTAAACCGTTAAAAGTGTTTACATAGTTAAGTGTTAACAAAGTGATAATCCTAATGAATTGTTGTATGTGTAATACTAGGTACTTAAATATGTTTATTTTAAAACTACTTGTGTAAATTACAGACATTACTACATTTTTTTTTTATAATTTTGTCCATAGTGCTTACACAGCTAAGGACGACGGGGTCTCCCCTCCTCGGTCACGGACATTACTACATTACAATCGTTCGGACATTGCGTCGGGTCGTTGTTATTTTACGTCTTTAACTGTTTTAAGTGGTTAATACAATGGCATTTTTTTTTATTTTTAAGGTTTTGCTCAGAATAACGTGTGATGGCTGCGGTGTGATTTTCGAAAGTAAGGACGCTCTGAAGCGACACTTGGAGTACTCAGTCAATGGAGAGTGTGTTACTACCTTTAGGTAAAGTCTAATTAATTGTATTCACTATTGCAATATTGCAAATTGCAGAAAATAATATATTTAGTATTTGTTTATTTCTGAATTAGGCTTTTCACGTCTCAAAAAAGCTTAACACACATATAAGTAGCGGCACGGATCTTTAACGTTGAACGAATCCTGCGCAGAAGTCAAAAATATGGTATCGAAGGGACGGAAGCGAGGGGCGAGTGAACGTCATGTGCGTCAGTGTCGATTGGTTCCCCAGTCGTGTTGTCTTTCTCGGACCAATACGACGCTCCGCTTGCTTCTCGAATACAGTCACGTTTTCCAATCAATTACGTGCGCTATTACATAGATGCGTAACTATCCTATCTACACTTCGTTCATCGCTAAACATCCGTGCCGCGACCTATACATAGAGTATGTTTATATAGTTACATCAAATTTATTTGATAAATCATTCTTAGACCTTTATAGTTTTACCTTGGAAGTGTTGGATGATGTAGTGTTTTTATGAAATATTTTTGATTTGATACATTTATTATTTTGTTCCAATGGTACGTGGAAAGTTACAACATTACGGTAACATTTGAAAAGAGAATTTAGAAGCGAGAGTAAACGTAATAATGACGACTTGCTTCTTATTATATAAATTACTATATAAATAAAACACCTTTAACGGTTTTAAACGAGAAAAATATTAGTTAAACTATTATTAATTTATTTTAACTCCAGTCGGATCATTCGGAAGCTTTTTAGCAGCCGTGGTCGCCTAAACTTCTAGTACTATTACAGATGTTCTTCGAAGTAGAAATTTCTCTGTAGTCTAAATTCAGCATATTATTTTTAGTTGTTGTGGGAAATGTGGCGAGAGCTTCGAAACTGAAGAACTCCTGGAGAAACATATGAAAGACCATCCAGTTGTTGAGAATAATACTTGCCACGAGGTGAGCATTACCGCTGATAGCGGCCCCCTAGCTCAGTTGTGGGTCGCGTGAAGTAAGCTATATATAGCTATTTTCATTTATAGATATTATAGAGGAGTACTCAATAGGAGTAGATAGTACTTATCTATACTAATATTTAAAGTTGAAAAGCTTGTTTGTTTGGACGCGCTAATCTCAGAAACTACGGGTTCAAATTGATCTGTGTTGGTTAGAGCATTTATCGGGGAAGGCTATAGGCTAAAAAAAAATTGCCCTGTGATAAATACAAGCGAAGATACAGCAAGAAATGTGAAAAAAAAATGGGAAAATTATTAATAATACAATAAATATGTATGAAAGAATGTTTCTTGTTTAAATTATGTAAATAAATCCGCGACGCTATATGTCTATCTTTTAAGATTAACTGGCAAGAACGATGGGAAGGAACCCGTCCGACATCGTGGGTAACAGTTTAAGTTTATAAAGGTGCAGGGGTTTGCAAAAACCGAATTTGGATGCCCAAAATAACGATTCTAGCGGACGAAATCGCTGGCACAGTTAGTATGAAATAAAAACACTTAAAACTAAACATAATCTGAAAGAAATATTTATGATAAAGTACACAAAAGAGACATAATTAAGGCGCCTTTAAAGTTAAATAAAAAAAAAATTAAGACAACAAGACAATCTATTAACTGAGTGGGCAAGGAAATTATATTTAATTTTTTTTTATATTTACTCTTAGATTTCTTATTTACAATTTTTAAGAACTTGTATAAATTTACTTAAAAGTTAGTTTGTTTTGTTTGTCCCAGTGTAACAAGAGGTTCGCGAATGAGCGCTCGTTCTCCATACACGTGGAGCGAGTCCACCTCGGGATCAAGATGAAGCAGACGCCGAAGCAAGTGACGCGAGAAAGACGCGCCTGCGCATCTAGGCCGTGCGTTTGCGAGATATGTGGCAAGTCGTGCACGGTTAGGAGGATGAGTTATACAATTCAATATTTCTATACTAGTATTATAAAGCTGAAGGGTTTGTTTGATTGAAAAGTTGTGTTGTTTAGAGAATTTTTCGAGGAAGGCCTTAAACATGCTGCGATCCATAGGTGCGGAGAAATAGTGGGAAATGTGGAGAAATGGGGATTTTTTTTTTGTAGGTGCGTAGTCTGCGAAAACGGTTTAAGATACCCAAAAAATATTTAAACGACCTAAAAAATGTCCGGGGCAGTATATGTTTGTCTATTAAGAATAACTTGCAAGAACGACGCGACGTGGACGACATCGCTATTATTTATAAAGATGAGGAGGTTTGCAAAAACAAGATTTCAAGCCCCAAAGAACTATTCTATGTGTCTGATTGATGACTTTATACGGGTGTGTTATTTCATCTACCATCAAGGGAACCCTATGCTTATCTGCAATGATACGTTAATAGTTGACCTAAACATACAAAGTTTGTGCAGTTGTAATATTTTTCACAGAACAACGGGACTCTAGTGGCCCACCAGCGGATCCATTCCGGCGAAAAACCTTACCATTGTAACGAATGTCCCAAAAAGTTTAGCGTGTACCAGCGGTTACAGGTACGTGAAATCGAATCTTTGACCTAGTTAGAACTGGTCTATAAGTATAGTGTAAGTTTCGTTGAGAAAAGACCACAACACATATGGCCGATTTCAAACATAGAGAACTAGTTGACCTTTTATAGGGGGAAGTTGATGCCACAGATAACCCATTTTTAATTTTTTTTTAAGTCATTGTTTAACTCGACGTATGTAACGCTTTTCAGTTTCGTATGTGAGTGGGACTTCTATCTTCTATTGTCGTTGACTTTGCTTGAATCTCATTTACGTAAATTTATTTTTGAGATTTTTATTAATTTTACCATGAAATTATGGTTTTTACTAAGTGAATGTTAGGTTGTTTCATTAGTTTAATGTAAAATTCAGTGTCGAACAGTTTTCTTAGTGTAAATCAATGTAAACCTTGTGAGAAAATTGTGTGCTTGTTTACTAAAAATGTCAAGTTAGAAAAAATACACTATAATATATAGTAACATATATAATTGTAATAACAGTCTATTGCCAAAATGAAAGTAAATTTGTTAGAAAGTAATCTTTATCATGATCTAGCTATTTATTTATACTATATCTTTTTATAGATCCACCTGCGCACGCACACGGGCGAATGTCCCTACCCATGCCCGCAATGCCCGAAAGCGTTCAAACACAAAGCGGCACTAAACAGACACAGTCGAGTAAGTTGGTGGTATTTTTTTCCCTTATAAAATGTTTGTAACGCACACTAATATATTTTTTTCTGAACACAAGAATTTTGATATAATAATAAGTACTGTCTGTAGTTAAGCGAGTATTACACTTTTAATTCAAACACTTTAACAGTTTAAAACGCGCAATATATTAGTTATTTAAAAATGATTTTAACTGCGGCCCGACGATTCGACTGCTTTGCAACTGCCGTGGTCACGGGGTGATCACTAACTTTCGCGTTTTAAACCTTTAAAGTTCTTTATTTAAATATGAATAAGTATTGTAAAGGTAGATTAAAAAACTTGATGGTACTAGATGCATTGGGATGAGATAGTACGGGTTTGAATCCCAACAAGAATCTTATTTAAGAAATTATTCTTAGAACACTTTTATACAACACAATTCTATAAGGCCTTCGCGGCCATTTTGAAAAGCTTTTTGGGTTTCCGTTCGCTTAGCCGTACGCGCGACATCTCTTGACGATTTTATGCACTTATAGTGACAAGGCAAATCCTCAATTACAACTGCTGAATGGCTCGAAAACCCAAAAAAACATTAATATCCTTTTAGTGTAAAATTATTTGTAATAAATGTCTATGCAAAGTCTCATCATTTTCCGCAGGTCCACAGCGGCGTGAAGCCCTACGTGTGCTCGCACTGCGGGAAATCGTTTTCCCAGTCCAATTCGATGAAATTGCACGTTAACACCGTGCATTTGAAAATGCCGACTCCGTACAGGCGAAGAAATAGGACAAACCATACATTTTGATAATAAAGTGATTAAAACAATGTTTTCTTTTATTAACGCTTCATTGCACAAAAGAAAAGAAATAAACACAAACGACACTTATACACTAAACATATGGAATGGGCGGACTTATCGCTAACAAGCCATCTCTTCCAGGCAACTTTTTAAATTCCATTTTATGAAAAATTAATTGGATTATTAAAGGGGTTGAGCCATTTCAGAGTCATGATTAATTTAAAAAGAGTCCTACAGTTTGTTATAATGTTTGTTACCTTCTCATGTATAAGGGCTCAACTAATTATGATAAAAATTTGACGAACATACTTAGAAAGTGGTTACGATACTAAACTATTTCTCGAATAGAAATTTTCACGCCCTGGCTGAAGTTATTCGGTGTGGGTAGTTTTTATTTTTATCAAAGTCTGTTTAACAGTTTGCACGTGAAATAGCAGCATATATCCATCTTCCTAATCACGTATTACACACATAACTGTGATAAGACAAGGACACAGTTAAATGTCATCGAAAATGTCGTAATATCGAAAGCGCTTATGTGAGGTTACGACCATGAATATGGAGGTTAGCAAGTTTTATAGTGATGCGTAAGCGTTGAAAGTTTTATCGATAAAATATATACTGCTAATAAAATAGGTACATTATTTATGAAACACCTTTATATGCAGGTTTATTTAATTATTAATATCTGCTCCATTTAATTTTACATGTAAGTATAATACTAATATTGATGGCGTTTGTCTCTACTAAAAATTACATCAATTTACGAAAAGGGAATACAAAAAATAAATGCCTCAAACGTTTTTTGCCGTTACAATAATCAGTTTAAGAATAATTTCACCAAATAAAACGACGTCACAAAAAAATTGACAATCGTTAGTAGTCTAAGTGAAAATCTATCTGCCAAAAGTTAGTTGGCACATAGTGATAATCGGCCAAATAACTTTCGGCGAAAAGGCTGAGATCCATATTTGTGAATTTTCTCACAATGTGATTCACACAGTTTGACGACAAATTAAGGCCAGCTCATTAAATTCTAAATGAACTTTAAATAGAAATCAAATTTATCGATACTTTGGCACAGCACTATTATTACAGATATGTCGTTATTGTATTGAAGCTTACAGTCTGATCAAAAACATTTTATAAGGAACTTGTTTGTTTTGTGTATATACTATTAAGGTAAGGCTTTTATTCATACTTTTTTATTACTTGCGAATCGGACAGACACATAAATGAATACGTTTTGCTGGTTATATGTAGGTAAATCTGTTCCTTGACTGTTCTGTGCTTTTCGTGGACAGACGAAGTTCCTTATTACACCGGGATCTTCATTCGGGAGCTTTCTGTGCTAAATAAGAAATTGTTGAGACATAAACCCAAGACTTCTCTTCTTCGAGGAAAAATGTATTTACTATTTAACCAAGACGCTTTCAAATATAACTATTATTTTGAACGTATTATTCTACTATAAAAAAAAAACATCTATTTTCTATACAGTTTTAGAAATATGGAGAGCCAAGCCTGTTGCGAACACGATGATGTACCAGGAATTCGGCTTATCATTGTAAGTTTTTGTTACAATAGTTTACGTTTAAAGTAAGAGCTTAAAAGTTTGATACAATGTAGTATTATTAATACACTAAACTAAACCAAATGTTTAAAACAGTTTTAAAAATGTTTGGTGGAGGATCATTTTTTTTACTTAATTATGATGATAAGGGTAATCTAGATGATTGCAAAAGTTGGCCTGTCAACAGAAGTCATCATTACAACCAAGATTATATATCAATTCAATTTAATGTCTTTATGAAAACATGACGGGTTCATTGTTGTAAGGGTAGCAACACATTGCTAATAAACAACGGGTCGAGGGTTCGATTCCCACCAGGGCTAACATTTTTCTAATCAATCTATAATTTTTCTAAAATGGAGTATGTGGTAGGAATTTATAGATTCTATTAGAATCTGATTCACAATTCACAGGTATAGGTACGTTCCGCGTCTCTGATGGATAAAGACGAATTAAACTTTTAATGTTTTCCATAAAAACTCAATCTCATAGGTGATACAATCCATTAACTAAAACCGTATTGAAGTTGTTTAATATATTATGTAGATAAAAATCAAGTCACATCACATACTAAACAGCTTTATCGTTTACAGTTGAATCTTCCTGAAGACGAAGGCGAGGGTTTGGGTTTTCGTCTAACGAGGACCTTATGGGACCCTTATCCATGGGTAAGTCCTTAGGAACTAGTTTAATAATATTTAAAAAAACGCCTTAACAAATTTTGTAAACGAAAAAAATGACAATAAATTAAGCATGGTTTAAATTTCGTAAACAAGTAAGCACAAACTTCTTCCGTCTTTTATAACCCGTAGCTTTTAACCTGAATAAAACATAAAAGTGTTTTGTACAATATTTAATTCAGTTTGATATAGGTTTTTGACTTTTAACGGTTTGAAATACGAAATTTATCAGTGAAAATTATTTTACAAATACTTTAACCGTTAAATTTGTTTTATATAGTATTTGTCATACTTAGTTCACTCGCTTAAACTACAGATAATACAAGATTCTTTTTTATTTCTACGTGCTCTGGTTGAAGCCTGCAAATTTGATTTTGCCTTCAATTAACTAACAATACCTACGGTCGATTCAGCCGTTCGGTGTCCACTGCTGGACATAGGCCTCCCCCATAGACTTCCAGTACGACCGGTCGTTCGCTAGTTGAATCCAGCGTTTCCCTGCTACCTTGACCAGGTCGTCGGTCCACCTGGTAGGAGGTCGTCCAGGTTTTCGTTCTACAACCGATGTGCCCAGCCCACTGCCACTTCAGCTTGCCAATTCGATGGGCTATGTCAGTGACTTTAGTTCTTCTTGTACAATACCTTATACAATAACAATACCTTACTGGATTTAAATTACAAAGTATGTAAACTAAGTTTTTCTTAGATAGGAGTCTATTTTAATTCCTTCATGCAAAGGTTCATGATGTGACATCAGGATCCAGGGCTGAGAGTGCCGGTTTGAAAGCCGGGGATTGCCTGTTACAAGCGGATGGAAAGGATTTATTGGGGTTGCCAGTAAGTTTACAAAAATTAACGCGCTACCTACGGTTAGTAGTAAAGTCGATTCATAGATTTACTTTAGTGTTTCAAAAATACCTATAAATTTGATGTATGTGTATTTAACTTTTAATAATTGATAATCACTAAGTGACGTGTTGTTCATTTTATTTTATAACTATGTTTTGTCAGGTATGTTATAAATATTTTCAGTTAACACAAATACCTTGCCGCTGGACGCAAGAATTGTATCCCCCTGTTTACGCTAATAATTGAAAGAGTTACTGATATATATATATATATATATATACTTATAATGAGTTGCGCTTATAGCACTATTATTTATTTAAAATATCAAATGGTTGTATAAGCCTATTTAAAAGACGAGCAGTGGGTTTTCTTCTAGCATTGCACTAAACAAATAGATTGATTATTATTATTTAGTATTATTAACGTATGAAAACATCGCAATTTTTTCTTTTTAGGTTGGCCAAGTGGCGGGAATTATGATAATTGCTCTGTATAAAAAAGCGAATAGAATATGAAACAATTGAAATTATAACGATAAAGGAGGCTTTTCCTATGATCTTCTAACGTAGAAATAAATATAAATTTAAGATATCAAGCTTTTAAAATTTTGTCATAAGAAGGCTGAATACTACGGTGCTTTTACTTTTTTTCTATAATTAAATGAAGTGTGCTTATTTTAAGAAATAAGTCTTAGCCATAACGTCAAGATTATTTAAGCCTATTATTTATTTGCTTTTTTTATTATGAATAAATGTACAAATGAAAAGATTTGGATTAATCAGGGTAATCAAAAAAGTGGAAAACGCCTTGCAAGCGTTTCTATTCCAAGCTATTTTTTCTTATTTACATTAGGTTTAATTCTTACTTACGGGTATTTTGTGTTATTTAAGGTGATTTATACTTATATATTATTTATTAAAGAGACTGTAATATTAATTAGAAATTACGTGCTTTTAAAAATACAGTTATTAAATCCTGAAGGAAACAATCATTGTAAAAAAAGAAGGAAATATGTTCTTTAATAGATAAATGACCTAATTAAATAAAAAATAGAATTATATTTCTGTTTTATAATTCCAAAAATGAAATTTCTATACATCTCTAACTAAACATCCTCTTCAAGATAATATGCTATGTTAAGGAAATGAACATATTGATAGAATACATGATTACAATACAGCTTTAATTCATTTAAATAACAAAAAGCTTACATTTTCATGTTGAATACGTCATTATTTTACAGGATCAATAGTTCTATATATACTTAGCTAAAATAATCAACATTTATATTATATATTTTTATCAGAAATATAGTTTGTAATCGTACAATATAGGTGATTAAAACTATTAAACAAATAAAAATATTACTAGTTATATTTTTGTATTAAAGTGCCAGCTTATGTCAGTTGATTTAATAAACTAATCTATCTATTTTTATATGTTAAAAAAGTAAAGAGTTATATTTGGCTGACGCAAAGCCTGCACATATAGTATAGGTATCCTGAAATTCATAACATACTCTCTACATAACAAAATAGAAACTAAAGTGCTGCAATAAACATACTTACTTTTATACTAGTTTCAATTGATTCTAAGTAAAAACAGTTTTTACTCACGAAACGCACACAAAACAACAATCGCTGTAGCTACACGTTCGTAATTACACGCCTTTCACTCACACACCCAAGAATGTTGTTCTTTAAGAACAGAGTTCAGTGGACACGACATTTTTATGGTATTTCATTAATTTGTTTAACAATTTATGAATCTATATTTAATAGATTTTATTTTGTATATAATTTTCTATTTGTAGAAAAAATATTTTAATTTATAAATAAAAGTTTAATTTAAAATATGATATTTAAAATGCAAGCAAAGCAGTAATAATCTTTCATAAAGAAGACTTTTAAAATAATATTTAATTACTTAAAGGCTCAACAAATGAATCCGTACAAATTCACTTTTATATGTATAATAATGTTTACGTATAAATAAAAACTCTACGTATAGTTTTTATATAAAATAAATATTCTTCTCACATTAGTTTCAAACAAATTATAATAATGAAATCTAATAATGAAGCATAAACTGAAGTTAACAACAAACTATTTCAAAACTTTACAGTAGACCCGGATCTACATGAAAAACAAAAATTGAATAAAGCTTCTCCTTTCATTTCTTTAGTCGCATTCCGGAGGTAACAAACTTTCTCAACCACTACCAATGTATTTTATCTTTGTATGAGTGCCACTTTCACTTCAGACATTGTATTTTATTTAACGTTTAATTCTTAATCTCATTTGTCTTTAAAATTAAATAACTTTTTAAGTTCTGGAATCTCAGCCATAATAGAAAATTAAGTTAGTATAACCGTCAAAACTGACCCTCATAAAGTATTTACAAAATTAAGTTTTCCATGAGACTTTTGTCGTTATTAGTACAGTATTTACTATATACGTAATCCAGATATATTAATTACTTAATACTATTGACATTAAATAATGTATAAATTTTGATTTCATCTGTTAATCTTCTAAAACTAATACATATTTTGATTATATGCGATTCTATATAGATAGCAACTGAATTATACAATGAAGATGAAAATGACAAAATGTACAAAGTATTTTATCCGTAGAATACATATTAACTATAAAGTTCAGGTACTAGAAGTTACATTATATATATATTATTGGTATATTGTATTCATATGTTATTATTTTAATAATTCCACACCCTAATTTACATAATTATTAAAATTTTCTTACCACGCCATTTTGTACTCTTAGATTTCAACGCGTTTAATGTATATACATTATTTTTCTTTCAAAAATTACCATTTAATCAATTATATGTATAGATGGGAAGATTCGTAGTTGTGTGTAGTGTATATACACTACACACAACTACGAATCTTCCCATCTATAAGTAATTATGACAGCACATATATATGTGCTGTCATAATTACTTATATTAGAAATACTTATATGTGAACAAAATGTACTGTATACGAATTTGAACAAATAAATGAAAAATAAAGATCCCTTCAGCACGTAAACTAACCTTACTCGTTATCTATTGTTTTAAAGTAAAAACTGTAATCATTTTGTTGCAAAACAAAAAAGGTCTATATTTTTTTAAATAATATAAGATTTTTTGTGACTAAAAAATGTCTCATTCTGGAATTTGGGCTCGCAACCACACACCTTTCTCTTAGCTTTCACAGAGAGTAAAACAAACATGTTTCCAATAGCAACACAAACTTTTAGAAATTATACTAAAATGACCCTTATTTTGTATAGCCTATAATACAAAGCCGAATGCAATGCTTTCAAATGTCTTAGAGAAAGTTTAGATTTTTTATATCCATTATTACATATTTGGTTACATTGACCACACAAGTAGTTTCCGTTCCCATTTTATCGTATGATCATTTCATATAGGAACTCACAAAAGTATTTTTTCCCAGGCAAGTTAGGCCTCAAATAGAACCGCCTTTTTTTAAATAAATTATTTTAAATTTTTAAATTTATAATTTTTCTATTAAAGAAACGTGTTTGGTGAAAAAAAGTGTGGTAAGAATCTAGAAATTCCGTTCGGGTCACACATGAAAAACCACAGATGAAAAAAATTCTGTACAGACCATAATTAAAATTGTCACTAAACATATTAGATAAGAACTCGACAACTTTTACGTTTTGTCTTATTTTATATTAATATAGCTCCAGAAAACTATTACACCAAAATATTATATTACCAATGAAATTAATTAAGGTAATTCTAAATTACTTCAAGAACATAAATGAAATATACTTAAAGATCTAGAATAATGAAATGATATTTTCATTATTTTTTATTTAGTTTTAAATGTTTAAATAAAACCCTTTAATTGTTTATAACTATTATTAGTACTAGTTAAAGTGGTTTATTTAAATGTGTACTACTCGGGTAAATTATCGACAATATTTAGTTTTAAATGTTTTTTTGGTGTACTTCGTTTCGTAAACGTACAAATAACATACAATAATGAGGGTAGTTAAATTTCATTGGCAGTTATTACATTTTATTTACAACTTCGTGATCGAAACAATAAAATGGGAGAAGTCATGCGTGTCTTGTTGAACCGATAGAATGCTATAGATCCTTCCTTCCGTTTCATAAATAGCCAAAATGCCAGTGAAATCGCTTATGTAACACAAATCCGGCTCGCCAGGTGCATCATTTCGCAACTCACGTGAAAGTCACTTTCGAAAGTGAATGTGTTGTTGCCCTTTTACAAATTCGTAATTACTGCGATGATTTTTGAAAGCCTATATTTGTGTAATGAGAAATTTTCTTTATGTAGAATTAAAAATAGTATTTAAGTTTAAAACTATAATTTACCTATTCAATTTCATATTTCAAAAGTGATTTGTATTGAATTCACTTCATATTATTGATTATTCCATAAACAAATTAGTAATATTATGATTAATACAAGTGTTTTATGTTCACCTTTGATTTATTTTAATACTTCGTAAATATTATTGGATTTTAAGTTAATCAAATACTTATATGTTCATAATATAAACTCATAAATTCCTCATACTTTTTAAATTTGAAAAATATGTCCTTGAACGAAGCGATCACAACAATAATGTTACAGAGATAAAATCTCCTTCCGAATAAAAGCTAGCCAAGAAGCTTTCTCTGACGTCACACATAAGGTTATATCACTCGTGAAAGTCGGTCAGTGAACCCGGAGTGACACAGATAACTTACAAGTAGATACAGGTTGGAAACGGATGCACGGAGAAACTGTCGAGTTTCTATTGCCGACTCATTTTTTATCTGTATTCTGAATTGTCGAATCGATCGTATTGGTTTAATCTTTAGAATATTGATTTTTTTCTCAATAAACATAACAATTATACTGTTTATAAAGACATATCACTCCAGTAATATAATAACTTCCAAACACATGTTTAACAACATGTTTAATTAAATGTGAACAAAGAAATTGTTCACATTTAAATAAGCATTTTAAAAAATCAGTAACACGAAGCGTGTTTAATTTATTATTATGACAGTAGCGTTACTTTTGCCCTACCCTTAAAATTATTACATGATATATAATTATTATAAGATGATCTTTAATATGTCATAAATAAGTAGAAACAAAATGTATTTCCCAATAAATGTACTGTAACGGTTGTTAAAAAAATTACATCTTTTTTTATTAAAACCAGATAAATGCTAAACCTTAGTTTAGTCTTCTTGGCTTCCTTGAACGATACGAATGTTTACCTCTGTCATTTATTTCAACAACTAAAATAATAAATTTGTAGTTTAAGTAGCATAATTTGAAATAGTAGTTCCTTGTTTCAAACACATCGATAATATTTAACTTTAAACTTTAATTCTATTGATTAAAATTATAACTATAATCATTTACTATGTAAAATATATAGATACATATATATATAACATTCCAACCATACTTTCATCTGTGTCGTAACACTTTAGTAATGAACTT